GGGGGCCGTTTAGGGAGAAATACACTGAAACTTGGACACACTCTTCTCTCTCTCTCTCTCTCTCTCTCTCTCTTTCTCTCTCTCTCTCTCTCTCACTCTCTCTCTCTCACTCTCGCTCTGTCTCTCGCTCTCTGTCTCTCTGTACTCACTCAGCTGCAACTGATCTAATACAGATGACATGGTGTGTGATATTAAACCATCAATAATCACACACACACACACACACACACACAGGAACAAACTATTAGATACTGTGTGTGTGTGTGTGTGTGTGTGTGTGTGTGTGTGTATATCAGGTATATAATGTATGTGAGCATACAGTACTGTTCAAAAGTCAGAGCCCCCCTTAATTTACATAATTTTCAGTCAAAACAGCCGTTAAGTACTTGTTTACATTTCTGAGCAGATTAGACAGAATATCTGATCCACTTACGTCTAAAATCCACTCACATAATGAGGGACAAAGCCAAAGTGAAAAAAACAAAAGTTCCCAAAAACTGATTAAGAGCTCCACAGACAATGTGACTCCTAACAACCACCTGGAAGAGCTGGTCGACCCCAAAACTGCCCCCATCAGATAAACAGCACTTAAAGCTTTCATCTCTGAGAGAGAGGAGAAAATCAAGCTGCTTCAGATCTGAAAACAGCCACAGGTGTTTCTGTCCATCCTTCCACTGTGAGAAGACGACTCAGCGCTGTGGGTCTGAAAGGATGTGTAGCTGATCAAGAAGAACCTCACTGAGAAAAGGAGACGGACACATCAAACAAAGAAGCTGAACAATGGACTGACCACCCCAGAGTCCAGACCTCAACGCCACTGAATGTGTTTGATTACTTCAGAAAATCAAGAACCAATTTCTACACTGCAATAAATCTAATATTTCTCCTGTTTAGATTGTTGGGAGCTTAATTTGAGATGATTTATCTTATTTCTAGACATTTTTTACTTGTTTTAAGTAAAACTATCTCACTATAGTGGCAGATAATCTTGCTTGTTGTAAGAAATCAGAAAAATTATCTGCCACTAAATAAGTGTACTAGATAAATGTACTTAATGAAGTTACTTAAAACAAGTAAAAAGTGTTAGATAATCTTATAATAAGTGCACAACCATCTCAAAATGGGAAATATTAGATACAACAACTAGATTTAAGATCATTTTACGTGACAAGAGACCATTTTTGTCAGTGTAAGACTGAACTTTGGAGGTGTGTCTGCAGATTCTCTGAGGAACTGAAAGTGAGTCTCCTGAAAAGAACGGAAGCTGGAATAAAGGTGAAGAGAGCAGCTTGATTTTCTCCTCTCTCTCAGAGATGAAAGCTTTAAGTGCTGTTTATCTGATGGGGGCAGTTTTGGGGTCGACCAGGTCTTCCAGGTGGTTGTTAGGAGACACATTTTCTCTGTAGCTCTTAATCAGTTTTTGAGCTCCAGTTTTGGAAACTTCCTGCTTCATTATGCAGGTGGATCTTCCATCTAAAACAACTGAAGGGTGGTCTCTGACTTCAGTGTACAGAGTGCGCGCGCATGCAGGGTCTTACCTTTAGCCCCCCTCAGTACAAATCCAAAGCCCTCCTCCTGCTTCTTCTGCAGCTCCACTGTTTTCTGCTCCAGCGCGCAGTCGCTGTGGAGGAAGCAGCGCGCAAGGCGCCCGTTAGTGTTTGTGCAGCCGGACACGCGCATCAGCGCCCTGCGGCCTGGGCGCGCGTGCATGGTGTGCGCCGCCAGTGTGTATGTGCGCGCGCGTGCGCGTGTGTGTGTGTGCGTGTGCAAGTGCGTTGCGTGTCAAATGAGTCCAATTCAGAAGAAGGCAGAACCGAACCGGTCCAACATCTTCATCATCATCCTCATCATCATCTCTCTCTCCTTCATCTTCATCATCCTCCTCCTCCTCGCAGAAGGGTGGCGCGCGGGAGGCCAGAGCGGCGCGCGCACCGTGTGACGTCGGCTAGAATCATCACCCGCTAAATAAATGATGAAGGCGATGATGAAGATGATGATGATGTTGAAGATGACGGCGACGGCGAGGAGGGCGCGCGGCACAGCGAGACGCAGCACGCAGGTAGATCGAGAACGCGCGTGTGGAGCATTGGCGAGCGAGTGCGAGAAAGTGCGTGAGAGCGTGTGCTGCGTGCGCGCGTGTCCGGTTCTCGCGGCGTTCCTTCTCTCATCGATCACAGAAATCAAGTCAAGTTGCAGCAGCAGCAGCGCGAGAGCGGAGAGAGAGAGAGAGAGATAGAGAGAGAGAGAGAGAGAGAGAGAGAGGGTAAAGGGGGGGGGGCGTTGAGCACGCACGCGCAAAAAAAAAGAAGGGAAAAAAGTGTGACTGACCAGCAGCAGAAGTAGAGTGAGTCTCGCTGTGGTCAGATAAAAGAGCGCACGTGCCGATATACTATTATTATTATTATTATTATTATTATTATATCTCAGTTGTTTTTTTTCCCACCCAGGCCCCGCCCACCTGCGCTAGGATTGGCTGCTGAGTATAAACTACCAATATCATGGCCAATCCTACACTCTCAAAAAGATGGTTCTCCAAGGGTTCTTTGGTCAACGGTTCAATTTAGAACCATGAGTTGCATACAGAACCTCCTGCATGCTTAAAAGATTCTTTGCATGGTGAAATGGTTCTTCAGATCGATGGAGAATGTGTTGTATATGGTTCTATATAGAACCCTTCCGAAAATGGTTCTATGAGGTACCAAAAAGGGTTCTAATGTTGTATATAAGCTTAACATCACAACAGCAGAAGGACCCTTTTTGGAGCTACATAGAATCATATACAACACATTCTCCATCAATCTGAAGAACCATTTCACCAGGCAGAGAACCATTTAAGCATGCAAAAGGTTCTTTGAGTGTTCATGGTTCTATGCAGAACCACTGTCTTTACCAAAGAAACCTTGAGGAACCATCATTTTTTTAAGAGTGTAGAGAGAGTCTCACTCAGGTCAGATAATGAAGTGCACATGCCAATACATAATAATTATAATAATAATAATAGTAATTACTATTATTATTATTATTATTATTATTATTATTCCTCTACTATTTCTTACTTTTTTTTTCACCCAAGCCCCGCCCACCAGTGCTAGGATTGGTTAGTCAGTATAAACTACCAAATCCATAGACCACTGTAGTCGTGGTCATTCTGTAGTCCTCGTTATGCCCATATTAGGAACTCCGGGTCTGAGCTCCATTTCTCTATGGCCAGAATGAATAGGGTTTTTGAAAAATCCCCTCTAGCGCCCCCTGTGTTAAATAAAAGTGTTCAGAACCCGACACGTTTTGTCCTGTGAACATTTTTCTCCCGAATACCACTGGATCCTCTGAATTACGAGGTCGTTAAAGAGTCGTAATTCTAATATTGCTACATGCGAGCTAAAGCTACTGCGCATCAATTTGACATCACTAAGCTACACTAAACTACGGTGGGCTGTGTCGGTGCTCTGACGAGCTGTGCTACCTTATCAAAATGTTCTAAAGTAGCGCATATTTACAGGTAAACCCGTAAATAAAACCTCTAGGTGGGATATTCTGATAAACTCCTTATCAACAATACCACCCGTGTTAAAACTACGAGGCTGAATTTCGCTTCTTTTTCGCAGCTTCTTGTTTGAATGTTGCCCATTCCACCTCAAATGGTGCAGCAACGAGACAAAACACTGGCCTGTCGGCTCTGAGAAAGTTAAGTTAATGTCTCTCAGCTGTTAAGCGGAAATAGAGAAACCTCCTCATCTCAGGCCTTTCAACCCTCCATGAAGCTGAAGTCAGCTTCTTTTTGCCGGCTGCTTGTTCAAATTTTCCTGTTCCACCTTAAATGGCACAGCAGTTCAGAATGTAACAGAAAGGAACAGAAAAAAGTTGAACAAAAAGCTGCGTCCTGAGAAAGTGTCCTCAGAAAATGTTACCAGCAGTAAAACAATAATTAGCATATTCTGAGAGTCTAAGGCCCAAAACATACTTCATGCAAGGACATGAACGCAAATGACGGCGCTCATTCAGCGCAATGCAAACGCTCGGCCCTTCTGTACAAACTCACTGCGTGTTTTTACGTTGCCGTGGCGGTTAAAACACTCAGTACTGAAGGGGGCAATAGAGGGCAAATCAGAGAGGGATCTACTGTTATTCCAGCAGCCTCGACAGGTAAACGTGGACTGTAGAGGAGAGCGAGCTGCTTTACCTCTTCTCTTGAAGTGGAAATGCGATAATGTATGATATTTTTATGTTTATGTAAACCGTCTTCGTGTAAGACTCAACTGCTCGTCTTCTGTGGCAGTTAAGAAACACGCTGGCGATGCGAGACCGTTGGTCAGGCTTGGCTGTCATGATAGCGCCCCCTGCTGTAACGCTCAGATTGCAGCTCGTGCTTGTGTCATGTTATGAAATGAGAGTCTGTACTGGATCAGCCTGAGTTCAGCAACGTTTGTAGATCTTTTCAAATCAAGCTAAAAGGAGAGATCTATCGGTGAGTATCAGATGAAGAACAGAGAACTGCAGGGAAACCTGCTGAGGCGATTTTTCGGAAACCCTATTCATTCTGGCCATAGAGGAAATGGAGCTCAGACCCAGAGTTCCTAATATGGGCATAAGAGCACAGTGACGACACGACTACAGTGGTCTATTGCCATTCCTAGGCCATGAGGGCAGGGCTACCATTAGCCAATCACACTGCAGGCGGGCAGGGTTGGTTCATTATCATCCGTCCCACAGAATGTTAGACCACATTTTTCTCACCTTAGTTTGAAGTAAAACAGTTTACTTAGTATGTAAAAAACTGGGAAACTATATGGAAACTAAGCCGCAAAACAGCCTGTTTTCAACACACTGTATATTTTGACATCACAATAACCAACACATTTACCTCTGTCCACCTATTCAGCCTACAACAGCTTAGCCACGCCCACTCGCAGTGCAGTTATAAGGAATGTTTCATCTTGAACTGCTTTTTAAATAAGGCACAGCCAATCAGAGCAGAGCTCATTTACATATATCAGTCTTAAAGGCACAGTAAGAAAAGCCTGTTTAATTTGGGGGATAAAGAAAGGTCAGAAAATGGTCTTTATAATGAAACTGGTTTTGGTGCATGAACACCCTGAAGTGGTCTTCAGGGAAAATAACAACATAAATGAGAAAAATATAGAATATAGGCCCTTTAAATATTATTATTATTATTATTATTATGCTCCCACCCTTATTCTGACAAAACCCACCCACCTGTGCTAGGACGGACCATTAAGTATGACCTACAAGCCAATCCTTGTATGTGGGGGCGGGGCTACCACTAGCCAATCACAGCACAGATGGGTGGGGCTAGTAATAGATTTACTTAGATCCACCTGTTTATAGACTTTTCAGTGCAATAATGACAATCATACTAAAGATGTGATCTATATTATTATTATTATTGTTATTATTATATTGATTTTCTCCCGCATGTATGCTGACAAGCCCCACCCACATGGACTAGGATTGGCTAAAGCAGGGCTGCCCAAAGTGTGGCCTGCATAAAAATGTTTGATGTGTCCTGCTAGTAACCCCGCCCACTCCAATCATACATATATACTTATTAAATTAGTATTTTCCTATAAAAGTGGTATTTTTACTGTTTCATTGTAATTTAGTATATTACAATATAGATATAATAGAAAATATAGTGTAATGTATTAAGATCTATTCCCTATCTACTTTATGTTGTTTTGCCCTCAGCCCACCACAAACACTGTAAAAAGTTTTTGCACCCATGGGCTGGTGAGTAATGACCCATCCAGTTCATGAGGGCGGAGCCAATTAAGGTGCAGATGGGCGGGGCTAGAGGAAGATTTACTTTGATCTTTCTGTTTACATGGTTGGGTTTCAATACATTACTAATATTACCGTTACTACTACTGATACAACAACTACTAGTAATAATAATAGTATTAAAAATAAGAATACTACTTCCTGTGTGTGTGTTTGTATGCACTGATGACCTGACACACACACACACACACACACACACACACACACACTTAGACGTGCTCCACGTGCATGCTGTGTGTGTGTGTGTGTGAGAGACACTCCTGCAGTCCTAGCAACAGTGCGGAGGATGCTGAGTTGCCTTAGCAACACAATCCGGTTTTAAAGACGCCACGCTGATGCAGCAGCATACACACACACACACACACACACACACACACACACACACACACACACACACACTCACACACACACACAGTAAGAATATGATGGAAAAGCAATAAAACTTAAACTAACAGTTGTATAGTGTGTAATAACAGCAGGGCTTCTTTGGATTAAATCAGCAGGTTTAACATTTAAAGGGCCCATATTGTGAAAAAAAACAAATTTATCATGAAAAAATAAATTTTCCTCATTTCCTCATAAAGTGTTTGATGCACAATGTAAACACTGTTAAATCTCCCTTCACTCCCTCGTCCATGCAGCTCATACACGGAAGCTAAACTACACAAACAGCCCATTTTGACCTCAGTGTGTTTGTGATGTCACATAAACAAACACATTTACATACATCTGCCAATTCAGCCTACAGCAGTTTAGCCCCGCCCACTCACACTCAAGTTATAAATAGTGTTTCAGTCCTGACTGGCTTTCTGAATGAGACAGGACAACCAATCAGAACAGAGGTCATTTACATATATGGTCGTATGCAAAAGTTTGGGCGCCCCAGGTCATACAACGTTATAATTTAGTAAATTTAGCATTTTGAGGAAAAAGTAAAACATAAAATGTGGCCTCTAAACTGAGTCTGTTCTACAGTTTCTCATTAGGCTGAATGAATAACCGACTCTAAATGTAGGTATTGTGATATAAACTGAGTCTGTTCTACAGTTTCTCATTAGGCTGAATGAATAACCGACTCTAAATGTAGGTATTGTGATATAAACTGAGTCTGTTCTACAGTTTCTCATTAGGCTGAATGAATAACCGACTCTAAATGTAGGTATTGTGATATAAACTGAGTCTGTTCTACAGTTTCTCATTAGGCTGAATGAATAACCGACTCTAAATGTAGGTATTGTGATATAGGCTGAATGAATAACCGACTCTAAATGTAGGTATTGTGATATAAACTGAGTCTGTTCCACAGTTTCTCATTAGGTTGAATGAATAACTGACTCTAAATGTAGGTATTGTGATGTAAACTGAGTCTGTTCTACAGTTTCTCATTAGGCTGAATGAATAACCGACTCTAAATGTAGGTATTGTGATGTAAACTGAGTCTGTTCTACAGTTTCTCATTAGGCTGAATGAATAACCGACTCTAAATGTAGGTATTGTGATATAAACTGAGTCTGTTCTACAGTTTCTCATTAGGCTGAATGAATAACCGACTCTAAATGTAGGTATTGTGATATAAACTGAGTCTGTTCTACAGTTTCTCATTAGGCTGAATGGATTTTTTCCTGGCGCTCTGTAAAGCTTGTCCAACCTCACAACCGTAGCTACAGAAGAACACATTTGTAGGCTGAACATGTGTGGGTCAATTGTAATAATGTAATAAGGCCAAAAACACAGAGAGATCTCTCATTGTTTCTGGCCCATTCAGTGAAAAAACTCAGCTTTCTCACATCTCTCTCTCTCCATACCCGGCCGCGGACAGTTTGCAGTTCATGCAAAATTTAACAGCACCTTCTGTCAGTTTAAAACAACCCGGATGAATATTTAACAGAGTGAGCGAGTGGCAGTGTTTCAGCCTCTGGGGAAACTCAGCTCAAGTTGGAGAGAAAGCAGGGCTTTTGAAATATCTCATTAAAAACCAATCTCACCACAGTGCCGTGAAGTGCTTTTGGACCAGTGATGGAGAGAAATAAATAATATCGCAAGATAAATAACTACACAGCAGACAACAGGCCTGGCTGTTTAATCATTTTTTCCTGTCATTTCTGAGACTGGCCACTTAATTGGAAACATCTACCCTGTACTTTCACTAACTGGCCACTATATTGGAAACACCTACCTTGTACTTCTACTAACTGGCCACTTTACTGGAAACACCTACCTTGTACTTCCACTAACTGGCCACTTAATTGGAAACACCTACCTTGTACTTCCACTAACTGGCCACTATATTAGAAACACCTACCTTGTACTTCCTCTAACTGGCCACTTTATTAGAAACACCCACCTTGTGCTTCTGCTCACTGGCCACTTTATTAGAAACGCCTCCCTTGTACGTCTACTAACTGGCCACTATATTGGAAACACCTACCCTGTACTTCCACTCACTGGCCACTTCATTAGAAACAGCTACCTTGTACGTCCACTAAATGGCCACTTTATTAGAAACACCTCTCTTTTGCTCCCACTCACCGGCCACTTTATTAGAAACACCTACCTTGTGCTTCCACTAACTGGCCACTTTATTAGAAACACCTACCTTGTACTACTACTCACTGGCCACTTTATTAGAAACACCTACCTTGTGCTTCCACTAACTGGCCACTATATTGGAAACACCCACCTTGTGCTTTCACTCACTGGCCACTATACTGGAAACACCTACCTTGTACTTCCACTAACTGGCCACTTAATTGGAAACACCTACCTTGTACTTCCACTCACTGGCCACTTTATTAGAAACACCTACCTTGTACTTCCACTCACTGGCCACTTTATTAGAAACACCTACCTTGTACTTCCTCTAACTGGCCACTTTATTAGAAACACCCACCTTGTGCTTCCACTAACTGGCCACTATATTGGAAACACCTACCTTGTGCTTTCACTCACTGGCCACTTTACTGGAAACACCTACCTTGCACTTCCTCTAACTGGCCACTTTATTAGAAACACCTCCCTTGTACGTCTACTAACTGGCCACTATATTGGAAACACCTACCTTGTACTTCCACTCACTGGCCACTTTATTAGAAACACCTACCTTGTACATCAACTAAATGGCCACTTTATTAGAAACACCCACCTTTTGCTCCCACTAACTGGCCACTTTATTGGAAACACCTACCTTGTACTACTATTCACAGGCCACTTCATTGGAAACACTTACCTTTTGCTTCCAATAACTGGCCACTATACCAGAAACATCTACCTTTATTGCCACAGCAACATGGCAAATGTGTTTTTCTTTAAAGTGAACACAGCCTCAGTATGATTGCAGTATGCGGCCAAAATGCGCCTAAAATACATACGGAATGTATTAAGCCTGCAGCTCATCAGGCAAACTGCGTGCAGACGCTAACTGCTCAGTCATGAGGTGCAGAGGAAAAGCAGCGCCATCAGCAAACTTGAGACACACATCTGATCCTGAGAGTATAGACTGTTATTCTGGTAGTAAACACTGCTGCTGCTCGTGTCTCCGTCTCGCCGCTGTGTCTGCTGCCGTTATATTTACTGATTTTAAAAGCTGGAGAAAAATTGACGCGAAACCTGGTGCAAGTTGCTCAAACTTCAGTCGATCAAACCGAATTTTCATCAGCCATTTTCCCAATAGCTCCACCCATTTTCTGCACAATCCCGCCACGTTTCAGAAGCACATGCATGAGGAAGAGACGCGCATTTCTTTCACGCACGCGACCCATAAACTGCGCGTTTAGGCTCGTGCGCCAGTTTTGTACAGAACAGAATGTGTGAGTACAAGTACACTGCAAAAATGACACTTAAGCACCTTAAATCTAGTTAATATATCTAATATTAATCATTATGAGATGCTGTAGGAATAAAACTATTTTAAATACGTTTACATTTTAGTCATTTTATCTACTGAAAGTGTCGTATTCCACAGGCAGATATTTTTACTTAATTTAAATATTATTTACTGAAATGAGAAGAATTGTTTGCATTATTTCTAATAACAAGTAAAATCAAGAAATAATTCATATAAAATTACAGCATAACTGTTATCAGTGGTTATGGATCGTTCTACTGAACTAGATTTTTGCTTAATTATATTTATTTCATTAAAACTAATGATTCAACATTCCATTTTTGTCACTCCCGAACACAATCATAACTCTACACAAACTTTACCAAACGTTTCAGTAGTTTCTGTTTCGGTAGTGACTGTTTCGGTAATTAATGTTTCGGTAGTGACTGTTTCGGTAGTGACTGTTTCAGTTGTGACTTTCGGTAGTGACTGTTTCGGTAGTGATTGTTTCAGTAGTGACTGTTTCGGTAGTGACTGTTTCAGTAGTGACTCTTTCAGTAGTGAATGTTTCGGTAGTGACTGTTTCGGTAGTGACTGTTTCGGTAGTGAATGTTTCAGTAATGACTGTTTCGGTTGTAACTTTCGGTAGTGACTGTTTCAGTAGTGACTGTTTCGGTAGTGACTGTTTCGGTAGTGACTGTTTCAGTAGTGAATGTTTCAGTAGTGACTGTTTCAGTAGTGACTGTTTCGGTAGTGACTGTTTCGGTTGTAACTTTCGGTAGTGACTGTTTCAGTAGTGACTGTTTCAGTAGTGAATGTTTCGGTAGTGACTGTTTCAGTAGTGACTGTTTCAGTAGTGACTGTTTCAGTGATGATTTTAGCTCATTTTGTGCTCAAAAACCCCAGTACATGACCAGCAAACACAGCTTTGAACAGCTGTTCACACAGAAAATCATTATATCTTTCATTGAAACAGAACACGTTTACTGAACTGCAGAAAATCTGTGTTTCGGTAGTGACGATTCTTTGTTCGATGTTTTCATTAATATTTTCAGACTTTGGGACACATTTACTTCAAAACAATGGGATCTAACTGCTCACCATGTGGCCATGAGGGACAGGGATGCAGCCTCACTTCCTGCTCTAAAATGCAGGGGCATGGCTAAAATAAGGCTCCGCCTACAGACTGAATCTCTGTGTTTCAGTAGTGACATGAAAACACAGGACAGGAGTTTTATATCTAAAAATAAAAAATAAACTCACGATGAATTTAAATCTAAACTTCACTTTATAAGGAAATCAAAAATATATTTAAAAAATAATAACTACAAAAAAAATGTAAGTTTTCTTTTCTATTTTCAGAGGTGTAAATTTAGGGGGTTAGGGTTTGGGACAGACTCCTCCCAAGAGAAAGTAGCCTATAAATGATGATTTTGTATATATTTAGCTTATTACTGTCTCTATTAATGTCTTGTCTTTAAATATATCGGAACATAACCCTTGTAAATAACTAAGATCTGAATAAATTAAATTTGGATTAAACTGAATTTCACTGTGAACTAATTCAGTAAAATGATCCACATAACTGAGATGTCTGAGGGTTAAAGCTGTTACATGCACATGCTCGGCATGTCGTACCTGGAGGCGTCGAAGCTGTCGTAGGAGCCCACAGTGTAATGCCTGAACAGCTTCTTCCTGTCCGCTCGGTCCGCTCGACTCTCTGGGGAGAAATCAATAACTCTGCGATCAATAACCAAACAGAGCAGCACTTCATCAGTCACTCTACACTGACACGGCAAAATCACTGATCAATAACACTCTTCAGCAAGAGTTAATCAGCCGAATCACATCACAATCAGGAAAATCAGGAAAATCAATCACTGAACGACACTGCACAGTCGTGTGCAAAAGTCTGAGCACCCCGGGTTCACACACACTTCACATACTTCAACACACTGTTACTGTTTATTTACTGGATTTAACACACTGGCCTGAGCAAAAGATAGCACTCTTAAAAAAGACGGTTCTTCAAGGGTTCTTTAGTAAAGACAATGGTTCTATATAGAACCACGAACACATTCTCCATCAATCTGAAGAACCATTTCACCATGAAAAGAACCATTTAAGCATGCAAAGGGTTTTTTTTTGCATGTTCATGGTTCTATACAGAACTACTGTCTTTACTAAAGAACCACTGAAGAACCATCTTTTTTTAAGTGATGCATTCAAATTTATTAGAAAACTAAACAACAAATGTAGATTTTTTTTTGACAATGACAATTTAGTTTGTTGTTTAATTCACACTTTCCACAACAAAATGCTGCAAATATTTCCTGTGTAATCCTTAAATTGATATCTTTCTTGGTAAAGAAAATCTAATTCACCCAACTTTCCTTTCACCAACAACGTAACGACTCTGGATCTCAGAAATTCTGTGTTAAATCAAACTTTGGCATGTTGTAATTATAATTAGTACATTTCAGTTCATATCAGTTTCTCTTTTTATTCTTCTACACTTGTACCAGTTTCATAAGCAAGAGCCATAAAACATGCAAAACAGTAGAGATTACAGTACAGCCTGTATGGGAGCCTGTATAGTGCTTTTGGGACCGACCACACAAAAACACAATTATTATTTTCTATAGAAAATAAATAACACTTTAGCTACCACCTGGGATACCACAGCAATGGACTAGCAACACCTTAGCAAACACCTGGGACACCATAGCAACAGCCCATCTACACCTTAGCAACCGCCTGGGATACCATAGCAAAAGCCTAGCAACATCTTAGCAACCACCTGGGATACCACAGCAATGGTCTAGCAACATCTTAGCAACCACCTGGGACACCACAGCAACAGCCTAGCAACACCTTAGCAACCACCTGGGATCCCACAGCAACAGCCTAGCAACACCTTAGCATACACCTGGGATACCATAGCAAAAGCCGAGCAACATCTTAGCAACCACCTGGGATACCATAGCAACAGCCTAGCAACACCTTAGCAACCACCTTGGATGCCACGGCAACAGCCTAGCAACACCTTAGGAACCACCTTGGATACCATGGCAACAGGAACAGCCTAGCAACACCTTGGGAACCACCTGGGACACCACAGCAATAGCCTAGCAACACTTTAGCAACCACCTGGGATTTCACAGCAACAGTCTAGCAACACCTTAGCAACTGCCTGGGATACCATAGTTATGGCTATAAACTGTAATATTGTTTATATTATTATGAACATATCTAATAGAGAAAGAATGAGAGAAACAAAAATATAATCTGTTTTATTGTTTATAATTTCTCTCTATGATGGTATAGCAGTGATGAGAGAGAGTGAAAAAGACAGATAACACATCGAGAAACGGATTTATTTACTCTTTTTTATTTTATTTTAATGTGCTTTCCGGTCTAAACTGCTGATGTTATCTCTCCGCAGCTTCAGCTGACTGTGAGCTGAAAGGAAAGAAACAGAGGATTAAAAATGATCAGACGCTTCTGGAGGCTTAAAATGTATTTGCTGGATTTTGTTGAATTTACTGTGCGAACTTCGTCCAACAGTAAACGCTCCTCACAGCCTCACTCCGAGTGAACGTCTCTACCTATTTATTTACAGGATTTATTTACTGTTCAGATCCACATAAACACACAAACACAGGATGAATGAACACACTTATCATCACTAGCACAGATCACACCTGTGAGAGAAACGTATTTATTTAATCTTTTATTTAATCCTTATTTAATCTCTCAGTCTCTCCTGCTCTCATTCACACTCATTCTCAGATCACTGGACCTCTCTAAGAAATAAACTCCTGTTTTACACTAAAGTTGAGAAAAACAGTGAATCAGAGCCAAAAAGCACCAGTAAAAAAGACACCTGACTGAATGTTCTCTCTCCGTTTATCCCTGTCTCTCTCTGTCTCTCTCTCTCTCTCTGTCTCTCTCTCTCTCTCTCTTCTCTCACATCCTTCTGTCTTTCTTTCTTCCTTTCCTTTGTTTATGTCACTCACTCTTTCTTTTTCTCTTTTTTCTCTCTGCCATTTCTTTTTCTCTTTTCTTCTTTCTTACTCGTGTTTTCTTCCTTTCTCTCTCTCTCTCTCTCTCTCATTTTCTCTTTCTTTCTCTCTCTTCTATCTTTCTTTTTCTTACTTGTTATCTTCTTCCTCTTTCTTTCTTTCTTTCTTTCTTATTCTCTCTCTCATTCTCTCTTCTTCTTTCTTTTTCCTACTCACTTGTTTTTTTCTTCCTTTCTTTCTTTCTTTCTTTCTTTCTTTCTCATTCTCTCTCTCTCTTTCCTTTTTCTTACTTGTTCTCTTCTTCCTCTTTTTCTCTCTCTCTCTCTCTCACTCATTCTCTCCCTTCTTCTTTCTTTTTCTTACTCACTTGTTCTCTTCCTCTTTTTTCCTTTCTCTCTCATTCTCTCTCTTCTGTTCTCCTTCTTCTTTTATTCTTTTTCCCCTCCTTCTTTCCTTCTGCCTTGGTCCCTTTGTCTCTTTTCTGTCTCTTTTTCTGTCTTTCTATCTCTTCTTTATCTGTTTTTCTCTCTACCTCTTCTGCTTTCTCATCCACTCTGTTTCTTCTCTCTCTTTTCTCTGTCTCCCAGCATTTACCATTGTTTCTTCTGTCTTTCTTTTTCACCCCACCACACTTTTTCTACCATCCCTGATTGGTCAGAAGGCTTCATCCAAAATTTGACCAAAAAATTAGCAAATTGATAATCAGTTTGAATTGACTACCATTCCAAAATCAATACATGTGATTTAACCCCCTGAGACGGAGGCATGTCTACACCCCTCAGGTAGCGGCAGGTTGAACAGCGCGTGTGTGATTAGGACGCTGATATTTACCATCATTAGCATAGTGATAATATTCTCCTCCACACAGTAACAGCCTGTTTCATCTGAGCCTTTTAATTAAACTCTGATCAGAGGCACCTGCTCCTCTCGGTCTGTGGGAGATTAATCACTGCACTGCAGCTCGTCTTCACCTCGACAACTACAACCCATTCTTTTCTTTGCATTGTCTTCTTATCTTTCTGTCTTTTCATTTTTCCCCCACTGTATTTTGTATCTTGTATTAAGCGACTTCAGCCTCGTATAAAGTCGAACGCTGAGAGACATTTTACAAGAAACTGTTCTACTTTGGTGGAAGTTTCCTGACTGAGATGCGAGAAAAGCAGCTATAGCTGAGCTAAAGCTTAAAGCAGAGCAAAGTAAGTCTGCGTTTTCGTTTATATTATATTTTTTATCCTATACCAGTACATTAACACATACTGAGACATGTTTACAGCCAAGATGCTGAAACGTTACTTCAGTAAGATGGACGTGAAATGTTGTGGCTCCCAAGGTGGTTTGATTTTTGTTGAAATATTTGGGTTGCGACCCCTGACCTGTACTATACTCACAGCACTATCAAGTTCAGAACATTATACTATTATTACTACAGTTGCAATCCTGAAATCAGGGGGTGCTGCAGCGTCCCGGCACACCAGCCTGCGAGCTGAGAGGAGTCGGATGCAGCTGCTGCTCCTCATGCTTCACTTCATCTCCATTAGAGCTGTGTGAGAAAGTGCAGGACTGAATAGTTGCAGTTATGTAATCGTGTTAGAACAGGAGCGAGAACGCTGACCGAACGCAGCCCGAACAAGAGCAGCTCTGGTTGTAGAAATGTCCCTCCTTTCCTACAGCGCAGCTCCACTGCCACGACGCAGACACACTCTGAGAATGGAGTAAGTCTTTTATTTCACACCCCAGTATGTTAAACTCAGTAAACAAACAGTAAGTGTGTGTTAAAGTGTGCAGAGGTGTGTCTCTGTAGAGGACGTGTGACTTACATACACTTAAGTATTAAAACACATTAATAAGAAGTTAACATGTAATACAATCAATTATTAACACCAATCGTTTCTTTGATGCTTTTAAAGTTTTTTTCTTTTTGCACTGCTTTTTAAATTAAAATAATCTTTATTTAGGTCAAATTTGAGCAAATTAGATAAATGTGCCAGCTGGCCTTTACAGTGGGGTAAGATTTCATGATAAATGGACCCTCCAAAAATATTTGGAAGAATCTTGCTCCACTAACTCCCTTTAAAAGAGAAGAAGGTTTTTCTTTCTCCTGTAAAGTTGACGTTTTGTTCCAGCAGCGATGATGTATAGTTTGATAAAGGAGGCCGGCTGCACCGGTCAGAGAGAGAGAGAGACATAACGAATGAGAGAGAGAGAAAATAGGGCAAAAGCTGTATTCAGGGAATGTGAGTGTGTGTGTGTGTGTGTGTGTGTGTGTGTGTGTGTGTGTGTGTGTGTGTGCGCGCACGTGCACGCCATGTGTGCCCTGAAGGTCAAGCCTGAGGCTGGGGCTCCATCAACAAAGAGAAGGAGAGAGAGAGAGAGAGAGACATAGAGAGACATAGAGAGTTAAATTAGTTCAGTACTACAGTGTGTTACAGTGCTCTGCGCTGTGGGACGCTGAGCTACTACTGCGTCTGTACATTGACCGATTTTGACTTTCCGAGCAGGAATTCTCAGCAGCCCGGGCGTTTCATTGGTTTTCCGAGTCGGAGGGGGGAAGTAGGAGCTTTAACCGAATGCAGTATAGGAGCTCTGAGAGACGCCTCACACACAGACTAATCTATAAACCACTACGGTGTCCACAGGCACCCGCCGTCTCAGAGATACATTCAAATGGAGTCTTCTAAGTTCTTCACTGTTGGTTAAAAAAGTAGGATTCATACATTATTTCAACTTTCAGGAGCAATTTTACAAAAAGCACTTTAATTCCAGGCACATTTTGAAAGTATGGGGTCATTTTTCAAAAATTTTTGTACCTTTTTTTGGAACTTTTTTAATTTGCGGGGTGTTTTCGATAATTCCAGGCACAATTTTTAGTCTGGGGTCAAGTGATTAATAATATAAATGAATAGTTTAAAGTCCTTAGGGATGTTTTCAATAATTCCAGACACATTTTTAAAGTTGGAGGGCATTTTTCAATAATTGCAACAACTTTTTTACATTTTTAAGGTGTTTTCAATAATTCCAGACAAAATTTTTTAAGTCTGGCTTCAATTCATGAATAGCTTAAATTAAATATTTTAAAGTCTAGAGGGAATTGTTTCAACAATTTCAGGGAATTTTTGAAGTGTTATTAATAATTCCAGGCAAATTTTTAAAGTCTGGGGAAATTTTTTAATAATTTCAGCTACTTTTTAATTTTGGGAAGGGGGTGTATTTTCAATAATTCCAGGCATAATTTTGTATAATAATTAATATAATAAAATGTATAGTAATTTTATTTTTTTTAAAGTCTGGGGGTATTGCTCAATAATTTTAGGGACTTTTTTGTTTCAAGGCTGTTTCAACAATGCTAGGCACATTTTTAACATTTTGCAGCATTTAAAAAAAAATTCAAGGGCATGTTTTAATCTTTCAGGGGCATTAAAAAATCAGGTATATTGTGTAAATAAAAAATTGGGACTGTTTTTAAATTTCAGGGACATTTGTTAAACTAGTTAAAACAAAAAGCAGGTTTTTGCCGCGAGCGCTCAGTAATCATTGATGCTGCTCCACGCTCACACACACGTGCGGAGACTTACGCGGTCTCTCCTCGTTGGGCTTGGCAGGAATTTCCTCCACACAGTCTGCAGGGAACCAGCCCACATGTCCGCGGGCGCTGCCCTCCCAGTACCCGCCTTCACCAATACTGAGAACTGCACAACAAGAGCCAGAGAGAACGAGGACAACAGAACATTAAACAGGAGCAGCCAATACATTCAGCTGCACTCTTAGCAAAAGGGTTCTAGACAGTATTACAAAACGGTTCTATGACTTCTAACAATATCAGAACCACTTTGGTGCTATATAGAACCATTTATGAAAAGGTTCTTTTAAGAACTATATAACAAGTTTTCCCATCATAGAGAAGAACCACTTAAACCCTCAAAGAACCATTAATGCATTCAAATAGCTCTTTGAGTTGTTTTGGTTCTATGTGTAACGATTTCTTTACTAAAGAACCCTTGAAGAACCATTTTTAAAGGGCCCATATAATGGGAAAAAAAATAAATACACATTTTCTTGCATTTTTTGTAATAAAACAGTTTGAACTAATAAGCAACCATGTTAAAACTATAAAAGCAAACTGTTCACTCTCCAGTCCATTTCTAATAAAGTGGCCAGTGAGTGGAAGCACAGTGTGGGTTTCTAATAAAGTGGCCAGTGAGCGGAAGCACAATGTGGGTTTCTAATAAAGTGGCCAGTGAGTGGAAGTACAAGGTAGGTGTTTCTAATAAAGTGGCCAGTGAGTGGAAGCACAATGTGGGTTTCTAATAAAGTGGCCAGTGAGCGGAAGCACAATGTGGGTTTCTAATAAAGTGGCCAGTGAGTGGAAGTACAAGGTAGGTGTTTCTAATAAAGTGGCCAGTTAGTGGACGCACAATGCAGGTGTTTCTAATGAAGTGGCCAGTGAGCGGAAGCTTAAGGTGGTTGTTTCTAATAAAGTGGCCAGTGAGCGGAAGTACAAGGTAGGTGTTTCTAATAAAGTGGCCAGTGAGTGGAAACACAAGGCAGGTGTTTGTAATAAAGTGGCCAGTGAGCAGAAGTACAAGGTAGGTGTTTCTAATAAAGTGGCCAGTGAGTGAAAGCACAATGTGGGTTTCTAATAAAGTGGCCAGTGAGTGGAAGCACAAGGTGGGTGTTTCTAATAAAGTGTCCAGTGAGCAGAAGTACAAGGTAGGTGTTTCTAATAAAGTGGCCAGTGAGTGAAAGCACAATGTGGGTTTCTAATAAAGTGGCCAGTGAGTGGAAGCACAAGGTGGGTGTTTCTAATAAAGTGGCCAGTGAGTGAAAGCACAAGGTGGGTTTCCAATAAAGTGGCCAGTGAGTGGAAGTACAAAGTAAATGTTTCTAATAAAGTGGCCAGTGAGTGGAAGTACAAGGTGGGTGTTTCTAATAAAGTGGCCAGTGAGCAGAAGCACAAGGTGGGTGTTTCTAATAAAGTGGCCAGTGAGTGAAAGCACAAGGTGGGTTTCCAATAAAGTGGCCAGTGAGTGGAAGTACAAGGTAGGTGTTTCTAATAAAGTGGCCAGTTAGTGGAAGCACAATGCAGGTGTTTCTAATAAAGTGGCCAGTGAGCAGAAGTACAAGGTAGGTGTTTCTAATAAAGTGGCCAGTGAGTGAAAGCACAATGTGGGTTTCTAATAAAGTGGCCAGTGAGTGGAAGCACAAGGTGGGTGTTTCTAATAAAGTGTCCAGTGAGCAGAAGTACAAGGTAGGTGTTTCTAATAAAGTGGCCAGTGAGTGAAAGCACAATGTGGGTTTCTAATAAAGTGGCCAGTGAGTGGAAGCACAAGGTGGGTGTTTCTAATAAAGTGGCCAGTGAGTGAAAGCACAAGGTGGGTTTCCAATAAAGTGGCCAGTGAGTGGAAGTACAAAGTAAATGTTTCTAATAAAGTGGCCAGTGAGTGGAAGTACAAGGTGGGTGTTTCTAATAAAGTGGCCAGTGAGCAGAAGCACAAGGTGGGTGTTTCTAATAAAGTGGCCAGTGAGTGAAAGCACAAGGTGGGTTTCCAATAAAGTGGCCAGTGAGTGGAAGTACAAGGTAGGTGTTTCTAATAAAGTGGCCAGTGAGCAGAAGCACAATGTGGGTTTCTAATAAAGTGGCCAGTGAGTGGAAGTACAAGGTAGGTGTTTCTAATAAAGTGGCCAGTTAGTGGAAGCACAATGCAGGTGTTTCTAATAAAGTGGCCAGTGAGCGGAAGTACAAGGTAGGTGTTTCTAATAAAGTGGCCAGTGAGTGGAAACACAAGGCAGGTGTTTGTAATAAAGTGGCCAGTGAGCGAAAGCTTAAGGTGGGTGTTTCTAATAAAGTGTCCAGTGAGCAGAAGTACAAGGTAGGTGTTTCTAATAAAGTGGCCAGTGAGTGAAAGCACAATGTGGGTTTCCAATAAAGTGGCCAGTGAGTGGAAGCACAAGGTGGGTGTTTCTAATAAAGTGGCCAGTGAGTGAAAGCACAAGGTGGGTTTCCAATAAAGTGGCCAGTGAGTGGAAGTACAAAGTAAATGTTTCTAATAAAGTGGCCAGTGAGTGGAAGTACAAGGTGGGTGTTTCTAATATAGTGGCCAGTGAGCAGAAGCACAAGGTGCGTGTTTCTAATAAAGTGGCCAGTGAGTGAAAGCACAAGGTGGGTTTCCAATAAAGTGGCCAGTGAGTGGAAGTACAAGGGAGGTGTTTCTAATAAAGTGGCCAGTGAGCAGAAGCACAATGTGGGTTTCTAATAAAGTGGCCAGTGAGTGGAAGTACAAGGTAGGTGTTTCTAATAAAGTGGCCAGTTAGTGGAAGCACAATGCAGGTGTTTCTAATAAAGTGGCCAGTGAGCGGAAGCTTAAGGTGGTTGTTTCTAATAAAGTGGCCAGTGAGCGGAAGTACAAGGTAGGTGTTTCTAATAAAGTGGCCAGTGAGTGGAAACGTAAGGCAGGTGTTTGTAATAAAGTGGCCAGTGAGCGAAAGCTTAAGGTGGGTGTTTCTAATAAAGTGTCCAGTGAGCAGAAGTACAAGGTAGGTGTTTCTAATAAAGTGGCCAGTGAGTGAAAGCACAATGTGGGTTTCTAATAAAGTGGCCAGTGAGTGGAAGCACAAGGTGGGTGTTTGTAATAAAGTGGCCAGTGAGCGAAAGCTTAAGGTGGGTGTTTCTAATAAAGTGTCCAGTGAGCAGAAGTACAAGGGAGGTGTTTCTAATAAAGTGGCCAGTGAGTGAAAGCACAAGGTGGGTTTCCAATAAAGTGGCCAGTGAGTGGAAGTACAAAGTAAATGTTTCTAATAAAGTGGCCAGTGAGTGGAAGTACAAGGTGGGTGTTTCTAATAAAGTGGCCAGTGAGCAGAAGCACAAGGTGGGTGTTTCTAATAAAGTGGCCAGTGAGTGAAAGCACAAGGTGGGTTTCCAATAAAGTGGCCAGTGAGTGGAAGTACAAGGTAGGTGTTTCTAATAAAGTGGCCAGTGAGTGAAAGCACAAGGTGGGTTTCCAATAAAGTGGCCAGTGAGTGGAAGTACAAGGTAGGTGTTTCTAATAAAGTGGCCAGTGAGCAGAAGCACAATGTGGGTTTCTAATAAAGTGGCCAGTGAGTGGAAGTACAAGGTAGGTGTTTCTAATAAAGTGGCCAGTTAGTGGAAGCACAATGCAGGTGTTTCTAATAAAGTGGCCAGTGAGCGAAAGCTTAAGGTGGGTGTTTCTAATAAAGTGTCCAGTGAGCAGAAGTAAAAGGTAGGTGTTTCTAATAAAGTGGCCAGTGAGTGAAAGCACAATGTGGGTTTCTAATAAAGTGGCCAGTGAGCAGAAGCACAAGGTGCGTGTTTCTAATAAAGTGGCCAGTGAGTGAAAGCACAAGGTGGGTTTCCAAAAAAGTGGCCAGTGAGTGGAAGTACAAGGTAGGTGTTTCTAATAAAGTGGCCAGTGAGCAGAAGCACAAGGTGGGTTTCCAATAAAGTGGCCAGTGTGTTGAAGCACAAGGTGGTTTTCTAATAAAGTGGCCAGTGTGTTGAAGCACAAGGTGGGTGTTTCTAATGAAGAGAGAGACCTGAATTGTTGTGTATAGCTTGTGAGGGCTGACCTTTGACTCTGTCATTCTTGTAGAGGGTGATCTCTCCCTCTGTCTGAGGCTGGTAGGGTCGTATTGCAACAAAGTGTCGGCCAGGAACAGCACTGTACAGCTTCCTCCTGGAGCCAGTACCATCCAGACTGGCATTGGACCTGCAATAGAGTGAGGAAGACTGAGGGTGAGGAAGATTCTCAGTGACCTGACCTGAGGTCTTCAAGGGGAACTCCACATATTTTTTCCAAATTCCTGCATAATTATATAGTTGAGACGTAAACAGAGCTGTTCAGAGCGGTTCAGAGTGGTTTGGTGTGAAACGCTCCGTTCTAGAGACACAAAGTCAGAACTGTTCTCAGTGGTGGTGATAGGAACCAGACGTCCACCTCTAAAAGCTCCTCACAGAAAGTTCCTACATGAAATGGTTATGAATTCACTGCCTGATGACTGAGACACTGTTTTATGGTAGTTTAGAGAACTTAAACTCCATTCATCGTGGAGGGATACATGCAGGGCACTGTGAGGCAAAATAGTCCCCAAAGAAAACTTATTATTTCAGATTTTCCACTATTTTCCATCATCAACATTCCATATAAACTCAGAAGACTCGTGTAGGTTCACTGGTGGTTCTGGATAGTAAATAAAATGTCTATATTTGTGTTGTAGTCATGGCGTCCCCTGGTTCCTATCACCACCAAAAAATCTGAGCCTCTACAAACAACCATTTCCCTTTCATTTCACTCTTTTATACTTTAAATTTTTTTTTGTGGTCAAAAGTTAAATAAAAACAGGCCATAATGGTCAAAATGTCATTTTCATTATCAATAAATTGCTGTTACCTCCTTTTTAAACATTTGTTCTGTTCTCTTATGCTCATTTATATTTTCTTTTTTCTGCTAAAACACTTGAATCTGCATTTCAATGTTTTAAATAAATATGAGTTATTATTACACAATATTTCATTATCTTCAAAACATCCATTAATAGAGGAGTGAAGGAGACAACACACCTAATGACAACGCCTAAATAAAATGCCTAAATAACTCAATTTAAATGAGAGATCAGAGTAACAGGGTCTGTAGTGATGGTGGGCTGAGCATGTGTGGAAAACAGAGTAACACTGAACAGCTCTTCTGATCTTAGAGCTCCACCTTATGGACGCTGTCTGTAATCACACTCTCCGTTCTCTAACGTGCAGAGAAGCAAGTTCACCAATAAGAAATCACTCCTTAATTATTCCTGTATTGATCTCATAATGAGAAATATTAGATATGCTGATTAGATTTAAGATGATTTCACTGTAACACAGAAACACAAAATATTATATCACTGTTTTTAGAACTATTTACTGCATGTGTTACAGTATGTAAGTAATTCATGAATAGTGTAATTTTCATACATTCTCCTCTATTTAACTCCTCAAAACTGTCACTTAGTGCTCTGTGAAACATTTTTGAAGTCTTAAGAAGTTAGTCAACCTGCTGAAATGAAATTTCGAGTTCACTGAACCTCAAATAATAAGTTAGTTCTTTAAGTTTTTTATGCAGCAATTCAGAAACCAAAAATTGTTTACAGTGTATTGGGAGTTTTGGCCAAACCATTATATCACAGTTTAACTGCAATTTCTGATGGGTTCTATATATATATATATATATATACACATCGTTCAGGCATAACATTATTGTTTCTACACTCATTGTCCATTTTATCAGCTCCACTTACTATATAGGTGCACTTTGTAGTTCTACAGTTACAGACTGTAGTCCATCTGTTTCTCTGATACTTTGTTAGCCCCCTTTTACCCTGTTCTTCAGTGGTCAGGACCCCCATGGACCCTCACAGAGCAGGTACTATTTGGGTGGTGGATCATTCTCAGCACTGCAGTAACACTGACATGATGGTGGTGTGTTAGTGTGTGTTGTGCTGGTCTGAGTGGATCAGACACAGCAGTGCTGCTGGAGTTTTTAAACACCTCAGTGTCACTGCTGGACTGAGAATAGTCCGCCAACCAAAAATATCCAGCCAACGGCGTCCTGTGGGCAGCGTCCTGTGACCACTGATGAAGGACTAGAAAGCTTAGGTTACAGAAGTGTGTAATAATGCTTTGGGCCCACCAGTGGACCCTGGTCATTTAAGGGTTTAATTCATTAAATAAACTTATTTTTGCAGGTTATAAGGGGCTTATTATTCTGAGATGTCCCATCACTTTCAGTACTAGCCATTCATAACCACCAAAGTAAATCTGCAATATTTTTATTGCGCAAAACAGCATAAACAAACGTTCTGGCACCACCTGTACACGCACCTGAATAAAACTGCTGCACAATTTAAGATGGAACGGGAAATTCAGATAAGAAGCCAATTTCAGCTTTGTTGAATTTCTCAAGTGCATGTGTCCTGCTGTACACTCGCCTCCTCATTCAGAGTGGTTTGGTGTGAAATGGTTCAGGTGTCTTTACAGTGGTGGTGATAGGAACCAGGGGTCGCCATGACTACAACACAAATATAGACATTTTATTTACTATCCAGAACCACCAGTGAACCTACACGAGTCTTCTGAGTTTATATGGAATGTTGATGTTGGAAAATAGTGGAAAATCTGAAATAATAAGTTTTCTTTGGGGACTATTTTGCCTCACAGTGCCCTGCATGTATCCCTCCACCATGAATGGAGTTTAAGTTCTCTAAACTATCATAAAACAGTGTCTCAGTCATCAGGCAGTGAATTCATAACCATTTCATGTAGGAACTTTCTGTGAGGGAGCTTTTAGAGGTGGACGTCTGGTTCCTATCACCACCACTGTGAACAGTTCTGACTCGGTAAGTTTCTCTAGAACAGAGCGTTTCACACCAAACCACTCTGAACCACTCTGAACCGCTCTGAACAGCTCTGTTTACATATTAATGAGCTTCGGGAGAATTTTAGAAAAATTGCTGGACCCTTTAAGGTCCAACTGTGTAACCTTATACATACAAATATATATATATTGTACATATATATATATGTTTTTAGAATTAAATTATTTGTTTTATGAGATGCATAATATTCACCAAGCTTCGATTTGGCAACTTAAACCTGTCACAGACAAGATCAACTCACACATTATTCTCTGAAGTATCCATATTTTTAATGGTTAAGTCATGAAATAAAAATAATAAAACATAACTGATTTGTTGGTTTCACTGGCCTGATTTTCCAGTCAAATTAATGTTCATTTTACCTAATTATTCATGTTTTTGTTTTCTGAAGTCTAGCGTATGTATGAGTGCTCTAAAAATAACTCCAAATTTAAGCCAAAGCGCTTACATAAGCCAGTCTGCATCCTACACACAGTTTAATATGATTCACACCGAGCGGCGAGTGATATCAGAGCGTGTTTACAGTAAATTAGGTTCCTGAGAGAAGCACAGATTTGATCAAATTCACAAGACCAGATTAGTGGACTTTAAAATGGCTTTTAAATGGGGTCATTTGGAATATCAGTATTAACACACGCCTACGTGAGCTGTCGAGTGGAGTGTAGAGTGATGCTCACATTTCAGCCGTTTATTATAAGAGGCAGTCAGTGCCTTACACAGAGGCTTACTTATTATTTGGAAGACAGGAGCAAAACTGTGGAGAACAGAGTTATCATTTGAGCGTCACTGTTATTTGTTATTATATATATATATATGTATTTATATATATTCTTCTTCTTCATCTTCTTCTTATTATTCTCTTTATGCTGGGTTTTTCTCCACTAACACGTCATAAGCAACACCCTAGCAACCACAGATATCATGGCAAACACATAGCAACAGGTTAGCAACCACCAGAGATACCATAGCACCTGGGTAGCAACAATATAAGCAACCACCTGGGATACCACTGCAACTTCTGACTTTGTTTTGATTAAAAAAAAAGACAGAAACAGCAAAAATGTATAGAATACATACGTTTCCCCGCAAAACAGCTCTGCCAGCACAACTATAATTTTCAATCAAATTCAAATTGTTATAAAATATGTCCTTGGGGGTGTGGACACATTTTGAGATCTTGGAAATTTATAGCTCAGAAATTTGGTGGAATTCTTAAAAGTAAAAAGAGATCCAGGGCCTTATTACAGAAACATCCTAACTCTGAAATCTGACCTGTTTGGTCTCCATGATGACTTCAGTAGCTGTTCCAGAATAACAGTTCCTAACTTCATAATCTCATCATGAACTCCAGATAAGAAAACAGCATCACACAAACATCCTAACTAGACTGAACCTCCTAAATCCTGTCCTAACTTTAGGATGAACCCCAACAGGGTCCTCACTTCTGTTTAAGGTCCGTTTCTATGGTTTTTAGGCAGCTGAGTCAGCAGCATAGTTCACTACCAGCATAATGAGCTCCATTTATTTCTACTGTAAAACGCTGCTTTCACTGTGAGATGATTTTCTTTTCTAACTCTGCGTTTTAAAGATCTCAGACGCTGCAGACTCGATCTCCACCGCCCCTCTGATCACCTTCGTGTGTTAATGTTGATGAGATGGTTGTGCACTTAGGATTATAAAGCTTATTTCTAGACATTATTTACCAGTTTTAGGTCATTTTATTAGGTAAAATTCTCTCACTATACTGGCAGATAGTTTTGCTGGTTTTGAGCACATTTCTTAAAACAATCATCTGCCAACATAGTGAGATAATTTTACTTAATAAAAATACTTAAAACAAGTAAAATATGTCTACAAATAAGTGAAATAATCTTAAATTAAGCTCACAACAATCTCAATAGGACAAATATTAGATGTGTTGACTACATTTAAGATCATTTTACTTGAAAAGACACCACTTGTTGCAGTGAATAAGACAGAGTGAGTCATAAATCTTTTTTTTTTAATTATACTTCTGTTATCGCCAGCAATAACTGACTTCCGAGTGTTAAACAACTACAATTATGCGGAATGAAGAAACACTAAAAGATGAGGTCGTGTTGGGGCTCCTATTCAGTCCTGCCTGAGTCACATATCAGCTAATCTCTTCTGACATTTCCCAATAACAGGCAGCTGTCACCTCTCTTAGATCTTCCGCCTTGATGTTCTGTAGTTTGCGCCAAAGAACTGAAAGGGAATCGGAGACGCTGGTGGTGTCTTAGATGAATACAGACAAACTGGTCCACCAAATGAGAGGAAT